CCCCCCCAGCCCCCCACCCTGAGCCCCCAGCCCCCCACCCTCTCCCGCTCCAGACGAGCTCCAGCTCCTCCCGGTGCTGCCCTGGGGTCCCAGAACTGCCCCGGGACGGGGGCTCAGCCGTGCCCAGCCCCGCGGGGTGGGCACTGCCCGGCTCCAGAGGGGCACGAGCCGGTTCTGTGCCCCCCTTGCCCAGCCCCGGGACCCTCCCCACCCTGGGTGGGAACCCAGAGCAGCCCCTGGCACCCTGGCAGGGTCAGAACCCCCTGGACAGAGACCCCGAGACCCTGGCTGTGATCTCTGCCCATGGAAAAGAGTTTTTAAAATCACAGGATCAATTACCAGCTCTGAGGGTTTGATATCAGTGATAATTAAGTGTGGCACGGGTGCAAAAGTAAAATTTTAGGGTTCTAGATGAGGGATCCAAAGGGGACAAGGTGGAGGAAATTGGGTGTGCCTTGTCCTTTTTCTCCTCCTTCATGCCCTCCATGTCTCACTGTGGTGTTGGCATTTTTCTGTTGGTTCAGGCTGGGGACACACTGTTCAATATTGGTGATAGATATTGGCACGTTATTGTAAATACAGCCCAGGGAGTTTCTGGTATATAATATTTGTAATATTATGTACCATAAACTGGGGACTGGGTTTAGGCTGGGGACACACTGTCCAACGTAGGTGATGGATATTGGCAGGTTATTGTAATATATTAAATATATTTAATATATATTTCTGTATATATTAAGTATATATTATAGTATATATAATGTATATTATATATGTTATATATATTTAAATGTATATATATATAAAAAATATTGCAAATATAGCACAGGTCGTTTTTGGTATTTAATGTTTGTAACATTATATACCAGAAACTGGGGACATATATATTTAAATATATTTAAATATATATATATATATATATATATAGTAAATATAGCACACGTCATTTCTGGTGTATAATGTTTGTAACATCCCACTGAGCGATTTTATATTGGCATGTTATTGTAAATATAGCACA